GGATCAACATGCCGGTTAGAATACAGTTTTGCCTTCCATGTGCCTGACGTGTTTTGCTGTGTGATAGTTCTGCTAACAGCCAGCCACTGTGCGTTAGTTCCGCAATGGCTAAACTGTGACAATCATGTACTACGGGATTCTCAACCGTTGATCCAGCCGATACACATATGATAAAAAACCCATTGAAACAATTTTTCTGGTTACCTCAGGCTTCCTTGACTGGCAAAATCGTACTGTCACCCGACTAGGGGAATATCAACATAAAACACACTGAAGCGAACTATCAGCATGCATGCGAGGAGATGAAGTAGCTAGTTTCAACGAGCGTTGTTGTCGACACAGGTAATCGCGTCCAAACACGACCGGTCTCATAAGGTCTCACGCGCACAGCAGCCATTTCTCTTGTAAGTAATGAACGATTTTCTGGGACATGTGAAGAGATCGTCTCGGTTAGATAATACACTAAGGCAGTATATGTCGCAGAACTCGGTCCTTCAAAGAGAAACAGCTTATTCAGCAAAGCGAGCTCAGCAAAAGTAACAGCCTGACAAGCATGCTGGAATCTCTGTATAAATAACTAAGTCATTTCCATAAACAACGACGTTGATGCACTCATGAGATTCTTCCTTTGAATCAGTGAAACAAGCCCGCTTTAGCGAACGAATCAGCGCGCAGCCAAAATATGCGCTGAGGTCCAATCAACTGCTCTGAGCGCATACAGCACGCTTGCCTCTTGATTGCACAATCCCATCACATTTTTCCATTTTCGGAACCAGCTGCATCGGTGTCGCAAAAGACTCCGTATGCCCTCCCGCTCTGCGTCGTTTTTGCTGCCTCTGTCGTTGTGACCTCTCCGTAAGGCGGCAAGTGTTTTGCTGCAGGTTCATCTTCTCGTTCCCAGTGTCACCTCAGCTGCACTCGGTTCCTTCTGATTACCTTCGCTCCGGTACTGATTTCATAAGATCGTTATCCAACCTTCGCGGTCAACACACCTTTCTTCCATCGTTCGCTGACACCAGGTATCGGTTGGATCCACACTTCATCATTTACTGATAGCTCAGGTAGCGCAGGGTCCAGCGGTCATAATACCGTTTCTGATCGCTCCTCCGTTTTCTTAAGCCCCTTTGCAGTTGCTTATGCGATGTCGAGACAGGGTGTAAGAGTTCAGCCAACGAAGGCATTAGGGTTCTTGTCCTTCTGCTGTACAAACGTTGCACTGGACTGAGACCGTTGTTCGGTAATGGCGTATTGGGAACATCCAATAACATTAGATACGGGTCCACATAAGTGGCACTGGCTTTCGACAACAGCATCTGGGCTTGTTTGACCGCTGCCTCTGCTTTTTTGTTTGACTGTCATACGGGCTGGTTTGTCATTGCGAAAATTCCCACTTGTTCGCGAAGGTCTGGAACATAGCATTTGTAAATTGCGGGCCATTGTCGGAGATCAGTTCCTCCGATATTCCGTATATGGCAAACTGACATCTAAGCTTGTTGATAACTGCTTCCGTGGTGGTAGCGGTGACTGAATCGATCTAGAAATAGTCCACAGTGATTCCTTCCCGTTGTCACAGAATAAGTTCACCGCTACTTTCTGCCATGGTCGATATGGAAGCTCACGCAATATCATTGGTTACCTGGCTTGGCGAGCTGCGTGGAACCGTCAGATTGAACATCTTATTACATGGTCTCGGATTTGACTATCATCCTGGGCCAGAATATCAGTTCGCGTGCTCTACTAATACTCTAATTGACGCAAAAATGGACTCGATGAGCGTGTTCTAGCATTTCTTTGCGAAGCGGCGGTGGGAGCAAAATGCGATTTGCTTTAAACGGCAAACCACCATACATCGTAAGTTCATTCCAAAAGTTAAAGAACGGCGTCAATTCCTTCGGAAGTTTATTCTATGTATCTGGCCATCTTTTTAAAATCACGTCGCACAACGCCACGCACGTCGCGTCTGTCTCCGTATGACGCTCTAACTATTTCAGGCAATCTGTCCTTACCGCCAGATGTAAGAGATTGACTGCCTCAAGTTCGTCTTGTTGGTGTTCGACCATTGGAAGATGAGCTCTCGACAGAGCGTCCGCGATGAACATTTGCGTCCCCGGAGTGTACACTAGATCCCTGCCGTATTTTTGGAGCCGGATAAGTATCCGTTGTAAACGTCGAGGGACACTGTGTAACGGTTTACTATCTATTAACACGAGCGGTTTGTGGTCAGTATACACTGTAGTCTTGCTTCCAAATGCGTAGTCGTTGAATCGCTCCATCGCGTAGACGACAGCGAACATCTCTTTTTCGATCCGCGCATAACGCTGTTCTGCCACTATGAGCGGAAATCCAAGGGTTTACCATTCTGCAGGAGAACGGCACCTATTCCGTTTTGGATGCTGGCACAATGCACCTCCATGGGTAGAATTGGGTCATAGTATCCAAGTACTGGTTCACAGCTAATAAGACGCTTGATGGTTATAAAGGCTGTCTCCTGCCCTTCTCCCCAACTCCACTTGACACCCTTGTGAATCATTCTCCGGATGGGCGTCATGATTTCAGCAAGTTTTGGCAAGAACCAGCTCAAATAATTCACCATGCAATTCAAACGATTAACAGCCTTGATGTTCTTAGGTTGCGGCATCTTCTGCACCGCTTTGAATTTTTCGGGATCGAATTTTATTCCCTCGGATGTCAGAACTTGCCCGTGAAAAATCGCTTCCGAGTTCCTGAGCTCAATTTTCTCGCATTTGAGCTTTGTGTTCCTTTGCATGCATCGCTGCAAAAAAGTGGTGTAGATTGGCGTCATGTTCCTATTCGGTTGAATCGTAAATCAGTACATCGTTTGCTATACACGTTACACCGTCTAGGTTGTCAACAACCTGCAGTAACCGCTTCGGAAAAATTTCGGTTGAAACCTTCAAACCAAACGGTAAACGTAGCCAGCGAAAACGTCCGAAGGGTGTAGCGAACGTCGTCAAGAAACGATTCCTCATCTAGGACCACGTGCAGGACGCCGATAAGGTCAACCTCGGTGAAGTACTTCGCCTTAGCCAAACGTGGCAGGACATCTAATGTTTGCAATATTCTCTACGCAAAGCTTCATTCAACCGCTCCGGATCTATACACAGACGCAAATCACCGTTCTTTTTCGTAACAATCGCGACTTGGTTAACCCAGTCTGTTGGCTCGTCGACTTTAGCAATCACACCCAATTGCGTCAAGTTACTTACTTCGGTGGCGAAATACGAACGGAACCCTTGTACCTGGCAGCGCAATCGGTCGTATTGACGGACCTAGTGACAAATGAACGGAACCTTTAAGCCTCTCTAAAGCTGGGTTAAACAAGGACGGATACTGTTCACCAACGTCTGTCACTGCTTTACATACATGTTCAAAACGGTCATGGTTAAAATGAATAAAGCCAAGACTGGATGGAATCAACCCCGAGAATCGGCGTGAACTCTTCTTCCACCGCCACGTAATCCAACAAATGTGAAGAGCCGTCTTTGAAATTGATCACTTTGATAGTGGCGGCTGCAACTTGGAACCGTTCCACATGCGCAAGACTCCCTGATCAGGTCGCACACTAATTCCTGGGCACCGCTTCGTTGGAATTATGTTTAAGAGGGCACCCGCGTCCAACTGGAAACGCACCATCTCGTCACCAACTTGCATAGACGCACTTCTTTGGTCCTGTCTGCGACACGTTGCTGATAGAACGTTCTGAGTCGGAGAGCGGTGTGTCACGATTGCATTCACCTTCGAAGAATGACAACATCGAGCGATATGATTCCGTCTGCTGCATCTGGCGCAAATTTGGCCCCACGCCGGACATTGATCGCAATCCTTCGGGTGCCTCGAGGCGTAGAATTCACAAGTCTCGTGTGTCTTGATAACAGGCTTCGCAGTTTTGTCAGGTAGACTATACACGGCACATAACTCTGCATCAGTCGGCAACCGCATTTGCTAGATGTGGAGTGCAGCTGATGATTCACTGTGGTATATATCAATACATTGTCTGATCGATACTTGCTGTTGTCGCAACAGTCGCTTGGTGGTATTTTCATAATTGATCCCCAGCACGATTCTATCTTGGATGACACTGCCAGCCATACAATTGCAAAAATTACAGGAACGCAAAATAATTCCCCATACTTTCGTTCCGGCACCGTTTTCGGGTAAAAAGAGATACCGCTGATACGTCTCGTTAGTCTGACCTTCGCAGAAATCACTGAATTCTCGGACGACAGATTCCAGATCAGCTGACTTTTCGTACTGAATCGTTTCCAAGACGGGGCGTGCTTCATCTCGGATCGTATGTTTAAACATCGCCAATCGATACGACATCGGTTGTTCATTCAGCCGCACCAATACACAGAAATCGACCCACTTGCTTTTCCAGATTCTCCAATTATTGTCCAAATTATGTTCTCCCATGTTTAGTGGGGCAGGTGGTTGCACAGCTGAGTTAGTTAGCACCACTGGATGATCTTCGCTTGGTTTTCTCGGACACTATGTCGCAGAACTCGGTCCTTCAGGGATAAAGGGTTTATTCAGCAAAGCGAGCTCAGCAAAAATGACAGCCTGACAACCATGTAGGAACCTCCATATAAATAATTAAGTCATTTCCATAAATAAACGATACTGCTGCACTCATGTGATACTTCCTTTGAATCATTTAAACAAGCCCGCTGCAGCGAACGAATCAGCGCGTAGACAAAATATGCATAGGCGTCTAATCAACTGCTCTGTTCGGCTGCGGCAAGCTAACAGCTTCCTTGCACAATATGCATAAATTAAAACTCAACGATTCTCTGTGAATCGGCTAACAAGTCCCATAAAGCGGTCCTGAGGAAAGGTTCTTGGCTGATCTGGATAAAGCCCAGACAACAAAGCTATGAAGGGAGAGGGTAAGTGGACTTTTAGATTACGTTAGCGTTACTACTACCTCAGAAGATTGGATAGTTATCTGCCCAGCCACTATCAGTCATTGAACTGAGTCACGGATAAGAACATTCTTTGCGGAGTAACATGTTGACAGAGAATTTATTGTATGTGACAAATGAGATGGAGAGAGTCAAAGGACGGCGATAGGCATGAGACAACACAGCATAGGAAAAGAGAAGGCGCGTATAGGAAGAAGGTGAACAATGAGGTCAGAGACGAAGGTACAGTGAAATCTTCGCATTCATTCTGGTTCAGTCGGACCTGACTGCTCGCGAGTGGGAGCGGCATCCACGGAAACAGATATGCCACTAATGTGCTGTATCGTCCTGTCGCGAGGTTTCTTTGGGTGACGCGACCGACTTTTCGTCTTACATAGTGGACATATTGGCGCGTTGCGGTGGATTAGTTGCTGGCAGGACTGGCAGGTTTTCATGGGGGGAGACTGCCCAATCGATTGACCATCTGGTGTGACAAAAAACGGGTTCGATTCGGAACAGGCCACAAGACTGGGAGCATCAGAGCACAGAAATCTCGCAGTATCATAGTTGGATACTGAATCGAAACAGGTTTCTTGAGTCGACGTGTGGGGTCCTGAAATGAGTAGGCGCAAGATGTCAGTATGAAGTGGTGCAGCGGAGCTATGTATCGGTACGGAAAGCCGATAACGCTGCATTGTGGGCAAAAGCGTCTTAACTCCTAGTAATCACAGCGATAATAATTTTAGGTGGATAGACCGAACACAAATACTTAAGATGCAGAGAGGATGAAAATCTAATGCTACTCTCCGTACATTTTGAAGCCAACCTTTCAATATTAAAGTGAGATGTTCACGTGAATGAATGTTTAACGCCCAATAAAGGGCACACCGTTCGAATACGCAGTTAATCAAGGCAAGTGATTTGTCACTTTCTGTTCACTGCTGAACAATCAGCTCCATCACAATGAGGTTCCCTCTTGTAGCTCTGTTCCCCTTTTAATGGAGCTGATGATTAGGTCGTTTCCCGTCAATTGAAATCGCAGTGAATGTTAGACTACCCACAATGCATTCGAAATAACCCGCGGCAAGTTACATATAATTCACTGATATCCGCTGTCAAGTGTGCCCACAGAAGCACTTAGCTATTCTGAGGTCAAGAATGCATCTTGTTTAGTACATCGCTGCTCACGAACCCACTGAGTCCAAAACGCACGTGCATTCGGCATATAAGTGGGAGAAAAGGATCGCTTAAGCAAGAACATCAGATTAGCTTAAATGCACTAACAGTCCTTTACTGTACGTAAGGAAGGCGTTTACACTTCGTCCGTATTAATTAATATAGTGAATAGAGATCAATTTAATTGGAATGGGAAAGGTCGGTGTGCGGAAGAACTGGAGTTTCTGAGGACAAGGTAACTTTACTGGTTCATTCCCTCGCTACGCGGTCCCGTGATAATCTTGATCTTTAGACAAAACATCAAAAATAGGAAATGATGGGGAAGATGATTTACCTGTCCAGTTTCTGAAGTCATCTGATTGTCCAATAACAGCTGTTCTTCCGGGTGTAATGCCCAACTGTGTGTTTGCCGACTGCATCTCATCCAAAAGACCATAATTGGTATTCTTACTGAGAGTGGAGGACCCGGGAAAAGATGGACTGTCACCCGCACCATATTGTAATGTGAGCCCATCGGTGGGGTCGGTGGTACTTAGGATGGGTAGGCCTTCAGTACTCGCCAATTTATTGGAATGGCTTTCTATAGAGCATAAGCCACTATTCACAAGGGGTAAAGAGGAAAAAATGCCGTATTCTAAGCATGCGCAGTAGAGTACAGGTACCATTCGCATGCTAGTCGAATTAGTGGGGGAGTAATGTTACAAAAGAACGGACATATAGGTGCTTTTGCGCTCGAGGGACGATCAGCATCTCTTTGTTATGTCCACTAAACAATGACTTAAATCAGATACCGGCAAGAGAAAATTCACAAACAAACTGGGTTCGGCTGTGGCACCCAGGACTAGTACTCTACATTTAGGAAACTGCATGATAAAAGGACTCAGTACAGTTGAATTATGATCTGGGCACCAAATTGAGGTGAATCCAGCTCAAGTCGCCAGGATTACAGAAAGTAACAACGGTACGAGAATGAAAGAAAATAGTAAAGAAAGAAATGCGCAAGATTTACCCATAGAGAATGACAAGTAACATCCAGATGCAAGAAACCGAATGCAGAAGCACCACTGGATGCGCGACTGCGCCATAACTGAATGGCTCTCCAACGGCTGGTGTGGCCTATCCACCAAGACGGCATACACCAACCTGACCAAGACTCTGAATAAATTTATCAACGCCATCCACTGGCAGTTTCCCTCAACTTGATGCAACGATAGCAAACAATGCACGCTCAGAAAGCCTAGCAACAAGTAACGGGAAAACGGAAGACATGGCATAACCAACGCAACCAGTTGATCCAAAAACCAACTGCTGAACCTCAGCAGTGCTCATTCCGTAGACCCACAAGATGTGAGCAATACACCGTTATCACTAAAGATCAAACATGCCAAGCGTTTGATGTGTTCAGTGCGAACCGGCCAAGCTTCTCATTCGAATAATAACACCGGTCTTATCACAGCTTTATACACCCTACCTTTCACTCACAGGCTGGTGTCCCGCAGTCTCCTTAGATGACTGGACGTATGGAAAGCCACACAGGCCTCGCTGGTACGTGAAGTTACCTCCTTAGTGATGGGACCATCAGAGATGATACAATTAGCAAGGTAACTGAACCGATCTACCACATTCAATGGCGGTTCACTGAAAGGCGAAAACCGGTAGTGAATCGGTCCAGTCTTGCAATAACATGTTGCATTTTGAAGACGGAAAGCACATACCGAACCATGCAGCACTACGCATCAGTGTACTCAGTAGCGGTTGCATAGCCACAGAGTAAATACATGATCAACACAGTCACCATCAGGACGAAAAACAACCTGATTTTCGATAATTTGGCTGTCATAAGGATCAGTAAGTCGTCTAATGATCGCCAAGAGAAGTCTGCAGGTAATGGGTGTAAAGCTAATGCCTCAGTGATTTTCCCCCCTAGTCCAGGAACCCATTCCGGAGACTGGCACAACAGTGGACAATCGCCAGTGCGAAGATGCCTCGTCAGCGTCTCAAATCGTGTGGAATAGAGCAGCAAATCGGGTCAACAAAGAGTCACATCTTTCAGCAAAGGTGGAGGAAGATAGTCGAGTCTAGGAGTTATGTTTCGTTTTAATACGGCAACCTCATGCCAAATCTCTTCCAAAGCGGCAGGTGTGACAGGAACTTCCCAACGCAATTCCAGAGATTCACCAAAAGGGAGTGCCACAGAAAGCCAGCTGAACTTCTCTACAAAATATTCTGCCCGAAGGGCCAGTCGATGTGATTGAGAATGAATCAACAGTCTATCAGTCTCAGTTATTATCTCGCGAAAGGAGAATGCAGCGAAGCAAAAGGGAGAGGACAACTGCCAACAATTAGCGGTGTTGTAACCTTGTGATATTTTAGGCGCCCGAGTCGACGGATGCTAATCTTCAAGCTCGTTATGACCACGACATGGATATTCTGCAGAGCCTGATTAATAGGCTTCTCAACGTGAATGAACAGAGGTTGCGGGTGAAGCAAATAACTTGTCTTGGAAAGAGAGAAGAGGGGAAGTCCCGGCCTCTGCGAATCACGTTTACTGATGAAATGAGTCCGAGACTGATATTATCCTGCTTCGGTAGGCTAAGAAGTCTAAAGATCCACATTCGTCTCGATTTGGTTCCGTCGGACAGAGAGAAACTACAGTTTGCTATCGTGGAGTTGAGGCGGGGGACTGACGGTGGAGAAATCAATCGTCACGTTGTAAATTTTCGGGTAATTCACCGGGACCGCGAAATCCGGATTAACAGGTCCATGGCACTTCGTAGGCGTTCATCGGTTCCTACCGCGGCCTGCGCGTATCCTTCACAAATGTTTTTAGTTTAATGATCGAACGTGACGATGTATATCACCTCGTTGCCTCCCGTCGTTCGGACTAGTCGAAACCTGGTTAAATTCTGAGGTCACCACCCAGGAATTCCAGATCAGTGACTACTCGTGCTTCCGGTGCGACAGACTATCAAACGATCGAGGCGGTGTGCATTCGGTGCTCGTTGTACGGAAGACTGGCACACCTACCGCAGCGAAGATGGTCTGTGCGAGCAGCTATGGTACTCGATCCATACAAGACAGGGTGAATTGTTTGTGGGTGCAGCTCATCGCAGCCCGCGAAGTCGATTGGTAGCCGCATGCCAGAAGCTACATGAGCCGGCCTCGCTTCCTCCTTATGTGCGATTTTAACTTCCCTCGAATACTGTGGACTGAAATCGAGACGCGGCTTGCGGAGTTGGTACTTGAAACTGGGACAGCACAACATGTCTGCCACCCGACGCGCGTTACACCGCATTCCGTTCCATTGTGCCTGGACCTACTACTAACGAGTTGCGAGCAACGTGTATATGAAATCCAGGTTCTGGAGCCTCTGGCAGCTGGTAACCACTCGATGGTGTAAGCTAGCCGGAGCTGTCCTACGGTTATGGGAAGGCCGACTTCAATGGTTTCAATCGAGCCACCAGTGAAGTAGACTGGTCGCTGCCGCAGGATTGAAGCCTGTTGGTCTGTTATAAAGGAGGGTGTGCAATCGTTTCGTAACCTTTAAGTATCGGAAAGCAGGACCAGTAAAACTACATTGGTTCGACAGAGAATATGGTCAGTTGGTTCGACAGGGACGTGTATTGTGGAATAATTTCCTCGTGATTGGCTTTGCCGACGATTACGAGGCTTACAAAAGGCAGCGGAATCTGTGCAACAGCGTCGGCAGTTCGAAGAGGAGCTTACAACCTCAGCAAAGACGGACCCCAAGAAGGTTCTTGCAAACAAGAAGCGGCGCCTGAGGCCCTCAAGTGACGTAGCTGTGTTAAAGGGCATTTACGGACAGCCTCTGACCTCCAGCACTGAACGTGCGCATTGGCGGGGCACTTCACTTCCGTATTTTTAAGTGGGCATACGCCTATGCCGAGCTTGACGTGTGCAGCCCCTAATGAACTCGAGGGCCTTGGTTGCGGTGTAGATGTCCGCATGATGAAGTGCGCCGTTCTGTCAGTCGGCAGCTCAAACAAAGTCTACGCACTGACCGTGAAGCCTTATGATCCCATCGTGCTTCGGAAATGAAGGCCGCTGTCCTCTCTGGCAATACTCGCAAGCTCTTCCAGCTCATTCGATCCACTGGCCACAGAAAGCCCGGTGTCAGTGAGACTATGCGAAGCGGATGGTTCGCCGACTGCCAACTTACGCAGACGCTTGGACCGATGGGCCGAACATTTTCATTCCCAGTTCAACTGGCCCTCACTGTCCACTTATATCCCCTGCGAGCCCAGCTGCCCGCTCTGCGTCCTCAGTGTTGATCCACCTAGCGAAGCGGAAGTTTGTCTTGCGATTCGACACCTAAGACGATTCAACGCTGTAGGCTCAGGTGGACTTCCACTGGAGCTGTTCAAATATAGACGCTCAGTTATCATTAGCCAGCTAACCTAATTGTCCTCTAAAATCTGCCATGAAGAAAAGGTTTTTTCTCCATGGGGCGATTCAATTATTGTCCCGACTTTTAAGAAAGGTGTTCGCACTTCGTGTAACAATTACCGGGGCATTAGTCTCATTTTGGTTGCCTCCAAGCTATTGGCATCCATTCTACTCCGTAGACTATCTCCCATTCGCGAATCGCAGTACCGGGAAGATCAAGGTGGCTTCCGACCTGGCCGCGGGTGTGGATCAGATATTCACACTCCGCCAAATCATGGAACAGCGCCACCGTTACCAGAGGCCTACCATCGTTGCATTCTTGGACATCCGTGCCGCATTCGACTCAGCTGATCGACCTGCACGACGGCGTTGTTTGCAAAGTAACTGTGTCCCAGAAAAGTACACTACCATGCTCCGCGCACTGTATTTCCACTTCTCTGGTAGAGTGAGGGTGTATGGAAGGCTATCGTCGTCCTTCGCTGTCATTAGCGGTGTACAACAAGACTGCCATATGTCACCGTTCCTCTTCAATTTTGCGATTTAAGACATATTGTCGAGAGCTCCAGAAGGTTGCCAAAATGTTGGTATACAGTTATTACCGAGCAAGCGAACAACCGATTTAGATTATGCCGATGATATCACCTTAGTTGGTGAGGAATCACAGAGCATGCAAACCACTCTAGACCGTTTGGCGATTTAGGCACAGAATGTGCTTTCCCCCTCAAAATGCAAAGTGTTGCTTCAGGATGGGCACTCAACTGTTCCTGTGCTCAATAATGAAGGTACACAGCTTCAAGAAGTGGACAGCTTTGTTTACCTTGGCAGCTGTGTGTCTCCTGGTGGTACCATTAGAAGGGAAGTTTCTCTTCGTATCGCCAAAGCTCGGTCGGGGTTTCTCAACCTGCAGCACTTGTGACGTCCCCGGGATATCCCACACTTGGTAAAGCGTCAAATTCACAATGTCACAGTTCGGGCGGTGTTGCTATACTGAAGCGAGTCATGGGTGTTTCTGGAGGATTGCTCGTGTGTAGCGGCAACAACACAATTTCAACAGCGAAGTCAGATGTCATTTTAGAGAATGCGAACATTCCCTTCAGCATGGTGTTTAACTGCGCCATGTAAGAAGCCTCGGTCATGTCCTGCGTATGTTAACTGAGCGTTCGCCATATATATATATATATATATATATATATATATATATATATATATATATATATATATATATATATATATATATATATATGACTGATGATGACTGTTCGCCTACGACTCGGAACAGGTAAGTTTGCCACTTTTATAAGCACTTAGCCTGATGACACGCTTGATCAATCGTACTCTCAGCTATCCTCCGTGATACGGTCTCTGCCGAGGAGTGACCGACTATTTCTGCTGGGTGATTTCAACGCGCGCGTTGGGCGTGATGCATCGGTGTGGACAGATGTCATCGGTCCGCATAACATTGGTTCAGCGAATGCGAACAACGACAGGCTGCTCTCACTGTGTACCACTCGCGGCCTGACGATCACGAACACTCGGTTTGCACTGAGTGTGAGTGATATAGCAACTTAGACGCACTCACGGAGTGGTCACGCTCACCTGTTCGACTGTGTCATCGTACGTCAGCGTGAAGTGCGCATGATACGTGTACTGCGTGGAGCTGTGTGTGGCACTGATCACAAATTAGTGTGCACCAAACTGTACATTTTCGAAAGTCTATATATTGCACTTCCGCCGTGAATCGGCGTAAATTTAACATTCTCTCTCGGTACTGTGGCGAAACGTATTGAGCTGTAGAAAGCGATGGCTGCATGCCTGTGTGATGTGGAGTGCATAGCCACAGTGGGTGAAATGTGGCACCACATTCGCGACCAGATGACAGCTGCTGCCGAGGAGACCATCGGGCGCGCAAACTGTCAACGGCCTGATTGGTTTGATGAGAACAACGCGACGATTGGCGCATTGATGTCGGATAAGAATGCAGCATTTGCTGCACATGTGGAAGACCCCAGTGACTTGGGGAAGAATAGTCACTTAGCCAATCTTCCATGGCGACTGGTCCGAGGGCTCCGTCGTACTAAAAATCCATGGTGGACGGAGACGGCGAAGCAGATAGAATGCTACGCCGAACGCCGTCAACACAAGGAATTCTTTGACTTCATGAAGGTGGTGCATGGACCGGGGTTGGAGCCAATGAGGACGCTAATCGATGGTAGTTCAGGCGCTACCTGCACAAAGACCGCAGATCTGGCGACGGAGATGGGACACTGATTCAAGATGGCTATCTCAACAGAAGAGCTGAAAGCTATCTTGCTTCAACAGCAGCAACAATTCGAAGCCTTGCCGCTGCGTATCATCTCGAGAGTTTCACAGGAACGCTGTCACTCCAGTATACAGCCATCGCTTCGGAGCAAATGCAGACGCTCCTTCAGGTCCAGCAGTCAATGTTTGAGGAATCACGGCGGAAATCGACAGAGCTGTTGACACAGAAGTTGAACATACAAGCAAAATGTGGACTGGAACGAGAACTCACATCAGAGCGCATTGCAGGTGAAGGATACAAGCAGCACAACTCGGGGTTGGATACCCAAAAGGTTAAAAATTAAAAAGCCAGATGTGATCTCCAGATCCACCACACAGCTAATGGAGGCCACAATTTGAATCAAAACGTGCCGAAACAAAAGTCCCTCACTGCGATTATTGCCGCACCCCGCAGGGATAAAAGCGCACCAAGATGTCCTTTGTCTCTTGATCGAGAAATTGCGTGCGAACTGAAATGCAAGGGTCTGCAACTGTGCAACGGTCCAGATACACAAACCAACAGCCCCCCAAACAGTGGTCACTGAGCACCTGCGAGAGAGATATACAGCAGTTTTTCGGAAAGGCCTTGCAATACCTATGGTTTAACAGGAGCTTTATAGCTTAGAGAGAACTGTTCTCTACCCGGTGAACCACTCACTTCGGGACTTAGGAAAGATCTAATGTGCGTTGACCATGGGCCACAAAAAGGAACGGACTTGCAGCCACGATGGTGCACTGATCAGGTGTGGAGACACGTCATCAGAATGCGTCTGGACTCATGACGGAGGCCGTGCGTTATTTTGCGCGAGGGAGGTGTTACGGAGAATCAGCGTTCAGGCCGAGAGCTGTACCGCGACAGTAGATCGATCCACAATTAGAGATCGAAAGCGAATATACATCAAAATGCGAAGCTATGAGAAAACAACGGCAGGTCGAACCATGTACTTGAACCGCCTGAGTTGTGTTTATTAATATTAATTAGCATCTCCAATTTTGTTGTGTTAGTGTTTTTCTACAACCCATATATTGCACCATGCTCTCACAGAATCAGAATCCGGATCCTTCGGACCGGCTGGTCTTGGTGTTCTCATTTCGTGGCAGGTTGAACTGGTTGGGAGAGGCACAGCAGATTCAGGCAGGTTATCCGTAACGTCAGCGGAAACCACAATACATTTCTGGCAACGGTCAGCTGCACGGTAGCAGAAGGTTAGCCGTAAAATCAGTGGCATCACAACAGCAGACATAATGCAGATCTCGCGAAATCACTTTGACTGTCTCTTGAGCAACCATTCAGAGATCGACTGGCCTACATTGAGCAGCCTCAAGCAGCACCATATGAAAACGAGTCTGGCTGACACGCCAACACTGGATCAGAAGCAGAGAGCACTTGCTCATCTGCGGAACGGCAAGTGTGCCGGTGCCGACGGGATCCCGCCTGAAGTATTGAAACACGACGGACCCGCGCTGTTGACTGCGCTGCACCACTTGGTGCAACGTGTAGGAAATGAGGAGGAGGTGCCTGCTGAGCTGAAGGATGCCCTTGTGCTACCATTGTACAAGGGCAAAGGAAGCAAGCAATGTTGCATGAATTATCGTGCCATCAACTTGCTGAGTTGTGTGGGCAAGGTGATTGCCCGAATGCTGCTCAACCGCCTCCTCAGTCAAGTTATGGAACCTAACGTGGCGAAAGAGCAGTGTGGATTCCGTTCGAGACGCAGCACTATAGATATGGTGTTTGCTGCTTGTCAGTTGAAGGAGAAGCGCAGAGAACGACACCAGCCGTTGTACTCGCATTTTGTTGATTTCACCAAGGCATTTGATACGGTGAACCGTGACGCATTGTGGCCGGCCCACACTCCTTCACGGGCAAACACAAGCATGCTGTATTTGGGGAATCAAGCGCACACAAGACGGTGGCTGGACCGTAGCCCGCTCCACACTGAGTGCATGGAACCACTCTTCGAGCCTAGCACGACCACAAGGATCGTGCACCCCGTCCCCTCCAGCAACGACAAACTGTCTCCTGGAGCCAGAATAAACGAGGTAGTGGGTAATAGACAGGTAGGCACCTTGTCAATATGCACATCAAGCGCAGCCACACCGGGGATATCAAGCAAGAGCCAATCACTTGAGAGAAAGATAACGAAGAAAATAAATCGAGTAATGCTTAAGGAAACGGTGCATAAACCTTAAATTAATGAGCATATGGAGTAAGTTGTTTACAAACGAATCCTAGATAGTTCACGAGGTCGGAAAGAATATTTACGGAAATGTCACAAACATGAAAATGTTGTCAAAATTAATTACAATTGACTTAAGCAACGTGCGCAAGTTTATAGAAGAGAGTACATGTTGACATTTATATGAGAAAGAAAAGTATTAGGACAAAACGGAAAACCCACCATATATATATATATATATATATATATATATATATATATATGCCCCTTGCTGAGGCTGATGTTGCATTCATACTGCTTCTTCACCGCAGTTGGGCTAAACCAACTTACACTTAAATTAGGTCTTCTTAATGTGGATATAATTAATTACCTGTTAGTTGGTTTGTTCTGCGTACTTGATAATCTTCTCCTTACTTGCACACGTCGTTCACGCAAATTGTGGTAAACTTGCGTAATTTTATCGCGTGGTATTTTTTAACTAACTTTCAGACATTTTGTACTTATCACGGATTCACTTATAACCAATTTCTTCTATATCCTCATTTAGCGAGTATTTATGTCGTCATATGTATTTACTTTAGTCGATATCGGCATTTCGAATGATTGGCTGTTGTTTGACATCACATGTGTGGCTGCGCTCGATGTGCATGTTGACAAGGTGCCTACCTGTCTATTACCCACTACCTCTTCCATACTGGCTCCAGGAGACAGTTGGTCGTTGCTGGAGGGGACGGGGTGCACGGTCCTTGTGGTCGTGCTAGGCTCGAAGAGTGGTTGCATGCACTCAGTGTGGAGCGGACTACGGTCCAGCCACCGCCTTGTGTGTACTTGATTCCCCAAATACAGCGTGCTTGTGTTTGTGAAGGAGTGTGGGCCGGCTCCGTTGATGGAACGTGGCTCCCATCCGCATGCCTCCCGGTCTTATTCCTTTGGGTTTACACTGGATATGAGTTGTGTGGATGGAGCTGTGGGTGGTGCAGCGCAAGCCATCCATGGTCCCTCTGTAGGCGCAGGCGTCCTGTGGCTGACCACAGTGACAGGCAAATCCGAAACCGGATGCCGCCAACCATATATATATATATGTATATATATATATATATATATATGTATATATATATATGTATATATATATATATATATATATATATATATATATATATATAATCCCACGGAGGTACGTAAAAGATCGTACCACATTAACGTCCAGTCTCGTGGGAATGCATAAGAAAATTGGGCGTACTTGAAAGCAAATTTATGCGAAAATTCGCATATTGTATATGGATATTGTAGCTTACTTCATAAGCAGGTAAAGTGCTGTGTAAATGGCGAAGGCACGTTACTCATAATCAGACAGTGAACAAAAGGGTGTGCTGGTCGACTAAACTACATGGTGACTGTAAAAGAAGCAACTTACTTAGACTGTACCGCACAAGAGGAACACAATTCCAAGGAATCGTCTAAGGGTTTAAGTTTTAAAAAGTTCCTCTTCTCATTGATTTGCTCTAAAAGTTGCTTGTACTGGGTCTGAAGTTGTTCAGTTGACGCAAACGCATCTCGACGGTCTTGGACAGCATGTTGGATTGTGGAATCTAACTAAGGAGAAATTTGAAAGTAATAATAACAATATAACGCTCTTGATAATGGAATAAAGGTGAACAGCATCGATGTAACCACGAACTTATACACTGGACCTATGCAGTCCCCCGGAGGGGGAAATGACCGCTGGATGAACGGGTCGTGATTGGACTGGGCTACGATGAAGAGAACATGACAACCATCGCCTTCAATTTCGACACGTGCACCGTATCATGATGACTCGTCTGAACATATTTGTTGATAGTCCCAACTTCGGCTGTGTCTGTGAGGCAGTTTAGGGACATTGACTACATGACATTCATAGTGCAAAGTTGGCAACGGTTCATATGAATGACTAGAAGAAATTCACAATATCTTAGTGAGGAAAAATAGCGTCAACATGGAGACTTCCCAAGATTTTATCGAGTTGTACGCATCGTCAGCGTTTCCTAAACAGCGTGGTACTATAGCACAAGGCTAATTCACATGCACCATGGTGGAAGCAGTAAACGGAATTGAATAATAATGGAAAAGTAAGGCACCAGATTAGCGCTTTGTACTGATGATGATAAGTGGTCGAACGTAGATTAGGATGCTGATAAACCGCCCAATGCTAGTAGAAACAAGGAATCGGATCAAGAACATATGGATCGCATGTCAGCTACACTAGCCGCTACTCCGAAATTGATTGAAAAGACGTATTAATGGAGTACTGCAGTACTGCAGGAAGTCATGATTTCGGAGACTAGCCGATGTCATCTGCAGATGAATTAACCTGCGTCTCAGTGGAAGATAGGTCGTGCTATATCCCGGTTACCTTGTAAATTATGTAGCCCATTTAAAGCCCACATGGCTCAATGGCTTAAGCTGCTGGCTACTTGGCGTAAGCCTGTAGCAGTCATGCGTTCGACCCCCCAGTAGGGGACAGAAGGAATGCGCACTATTGACGAGCCCCTATACAGCGAAACGCGGCTGGTGCTTTCCTGGATCGCGATTGTGCTATGTATCTTGTGAGCTGCCAGGATGAATACATTAAAAATCCAATAATGTTGTCCTTGCTGGGGATATCAACGCACGACCTGGTCGCCTGTCATCATATGAAAGTCAGCTTGGTGGTTACCATGTGCTTGATAAAAGCCGCTCGGATAATAGAAAAAAGACTTCTCACACTGTGTGAAGACAATCGTCTGATGCTCTCGAGTATCAACCCCAAGCATTCGACGAGACGTTCAGCTACTTGACGCCCACTGTCTCCGACTCAGGCATGGTCTCAGTTTGACCACATCGCAATTGGTTTCAGATAGCAGGATAGAGGAAAAGATTGCAGATCCAACTGGTTCACAGTTCTTGACTCAGACCATTCTCTTGTTTGCGCGACCATCATGAGGTTCGGAAAGTGCTCGAAAAAGAAGCAGTGTAAGGTAGATACAGCAGAGCTATCAAGTTTCCCTGACCGATGCACTCAGCCGCGACCCACCACAAAACATTGATGAACACTGGACGTTCATGCAGAAGACCAGGATTGCTTCAGGATCCCTCCGCAGAAATATTCCAGCGGTCTAATCATAACGAAGTGCGCCGTTCTGTCAGTCGGCAGCTCAAACATAGCCTACGCAGTGATCGTGAAGCCTGGTGGTCCCATCATGCTTAGGAAATGGAGACCGCTGCCCTGTCTAGCAACACTCACAGGCTTTTCCAGTTCATTCGTACCATTGGACAAGGGAAGCCCGGTGCCAGTGAAACTAATTGCGAAGCGGACGGTTCGCTGATGGCCAACCTACAAAGACGCTTAGATCGATGGGCCAAACGTTTTCATTCGTGGTTCAGTTAGCCCTCCTCGTCCACTTATATCCCCTGATAACCCAGTTACCCATCCTGGGTCATTACACTTAGCACCCAGCGAAGCAGAAGCTTGTCTTACGATTGGGCATTTGAAGCGATTTAAGGCTGCCGGCTCAAACTGACTTTCTCCAGAGCAGTTCAAATATAGAGGCGCAGTTATTACCAGTCAGCTAACCCCATCGTTCTCCAAAACCTGATATGAAGAAAAGGTACCTTATTCATGGGGCGAGCCAGTAATTGTCCCAATTTTTAAGAAGCGCGCTCGTACTTTATGCGCTAATCACCGGAGTATCACTCTAAATTAGGTTGCCTCAAAGCTCTTGGCATCCATTATGCTCCATGGACTATCCCCGATTCGTGAAGCGTAGCACCAGGAAGAACAAGCTGCGTTCAAGGTGTTATTACGCAACAACAAACCGATAATTTTGGCAAGTAGTGAGGCTTTGCTAATTAAGGCTTATCAACCTGTGTTGCGTGCACAGAAACTATTGAGACAATCAATTAGGTTACCATGGTCTTGATTTTGACATTTTGATTGGTGTGTCAATTTTCCCCCTGTATATAACTGTCTATGAATCCCGCTTGTATTGTTTGCGACTGATGATCGAAATGTTGACATATCGCAACTTATGTCTTCTCACTGCTCTGACGAAATGGCTGAAGCGGACCCACTGTCCTTCAGCGGCTGGCGTTGAGGGTTCTCCGTGTCATGGTCGTAGTTGATTGTGATGGCAGACCCACGTGTCATCACCCACGGAGATACCATGCAGCATATCAACTCGACGGGCCTTCACTATTGCTTTGATCCAGCGAGGATAACCTACCCCGGGCCACAACGACGAATTCATTGTGCTGGGTGCAGACACTAGATTGACTTGGTTGCTTTTCGGTCGGGATGAGCACGTCGTGAGTGGTGCAGAGCTTGCAGTCCATCAATGCTTCAGCTAGAGACTGGCATTCTGGAGCCGCTGGATTTGGCGCAGACTGGTAAGGGAGCAAGAACGCTTGAAGGTGGCATTCATCCACGGTCCCCACCCAACAAGATTTCAAGACTGCTCTCTTGAAGGTGTTGACAAACTTCTCCGCTTGACCAATGGCCTGCGGATGGTACGGCGGTGAGCGTAGGTGTTGGATGCAATGTAGACAACAGAAATTTTCGAACATGGAAGAAGTAAATTGGGAGCCATTACCGGAAACCAAGACTTCGAAGAGTCCATGTTGAGTGAAGATTTGTTGTAGACAACGCAGACGGACGCGGTTGGTGGGCTTACGGCGACCACTTCAAGCCATTTGGAGTAGGCGTCGACCATGACCAGACAGGAAATGCCATCGATCGGACTAGCATAGTCCATGTGCACTCGGGACAACGATTTTTCTGTTGGTTGCCAAGAGAACGATGGTTGGTGTAGTGACATGTTGGTAGCTTGCTGACCATCCTGGAACACGGAGGCGGGCTGTCTGATGGTGTCGTCGGCTGGGTCGCTTGGTGTTGCCGAAGTATGTACGGCGCCGCAGATGGCCCGAAGAGGCGGATCTGCCAAGTCAAGGGTTTCAAGTCAGACGAAGCCAAGTAGATTGAACTTCGCTTTCGGGGTGAAGCCTCGGAAGGACACGGAGCAGTACAGCAGTCCAGTTAGCTGTACGCGACCACCACAGGCGCTGGTGACTGATTGGGAGGTCTGTTCGAATGCAGACTTACCAAGGGATCGCCAGAGATTCTCGGAGATGATCGTGATGTCCAACGCAGTGTCCAACTGCAATCGGACGAACTGATCGTTGGCCAACGCATCGACGAGTTTTCCACGATCTGAAGCGTTGACTTGGAAGGTGGCCAGCAGGCTTAGGGAGCTGCCAAGCGGACCAGGTTTTGATTTGCGTCTGGGTCGGGATCTCTTCTTTGGATCGCAATGGGGATCATCCCAATTTCGGCCCCCTTGGGAATTGTAGGATGGCAGTAATCATCCCGGTGCCCCACTCTGCCATAACGTTGGCATCGGTACTGCCAGAAATTGCAGTCCCAGTGGAAATGCCAGGTACCACAGAATCGGCACGCGCAGGGTGGGGACTTCGCTCGGTCGGATCAAGCGAGGAGCACGGACGATTGCGACCCAGGTATTGCGACGGTCTGGACCATACTAGGTGCGGCGGCGTCCTCGATCCTGGCAGAGTCGTGTTTCAGATTCAGCAGCGTTTGACACTTATCGACCAGGTTCTGAAGTGTGACATTGGTATCCTGTCGTAGTTTGGATAGGAAGCGCATCCGGATATCGACATCAAGTACAGACTGGAGACCAGATACGAAGATCAAGCATTTGAATGGGTCCGCTGTGAACGAACTAAGTAGAAACGTTCGCATTCACGGTTGACCATGCTCGCGTACGTGATGAAGTCGTCGGCACCACGCTTGGTCGGCTGCAGCCGTTGATAACGGGCAGTGAACAAGGAAGACTGCTCGCCAAAAATCTGAGACCAGGTTCAGACCGCCTCGTCGTAAGTAACGTCTCGTGGGTTCTTCGGCATTATGAAATTAGTATCGCGTTGCCTTTCGAGCCTACCCAGTTTCCGCAGAAGCAGCCAGACTTTCCACGCGTCATCATGGCAGGCCAGGTCAACGGTGCAGGTCCTCGTACCGCCCATACCAAGAATCGAACGTCACCCCAAGCTTGACGTCGTACAGGAATTCATTGATGCCGCTAACGACATAGCTCAATGATTAAGAATTTCCAATTGGACGTGCGTGAAGGGAACAACTGGAAAGTCCGTCAGTTAGCACGGACATCAATTTGAGCTGCCGCTGCAGCATAAGTTTCAAGTCCGCGTACTCATCCGTCGTGGTTCGAAAGCTCTATCATCACCACTGTAATAGATTTGCGCAGACCTGGTCGAGTTAGCTTAGCCGAAAGTTACACGTGACCTGAGCACGGTCCCTATACACACACGCACTCGAGTAACGCACTGAGTCTTCGGAACCAGACAACGATGCGCACACGACTGGGAGACCACACGCGATACTCAGACGCACACGAGCATGCGACCACCCGAGTTCCAACCAGCTCACAAGCAGAGACAAGACGAAGCGAACCTCTGAGAGTTCTTGTACGACCCACAAAGGCCGAATCACGGCACAATGGTACATTTTGTGGATGAAATGAATCATCACGTAGCGCGCGTGATTT